CTTCTTTCTTTACCTGGTCTATCCCATGCATAATCTTGTAAACCTCGATCATGTCACCCCTCAGCCGTCATTTCTCCAAGCTAAAGAGCCCCAAGCGCTTTAACCTTCTTATAGGGAAGGTGTCCCAACCCTTTTATCATTCTAGTTGCCTTTTCTGTACTTTTTCCAATGCAATAATATCCTTTTTGAGGTGCGGTGACCAGAACGGCACACAGTATTCCAAATGAGGCCACACCATCAATTTATCCAGGGGCATTATGACACTAGCTAATTTGTTGGAAGAAGAAATTAGATTTATTCCCCGCCCTTCACTCCCTGTGAGGTAGGTGGGCCTCAGAGAGCTCTCTCGAGAACTGCCCTTAAGAGAGTAGCTCTGAAAGAACCTATGACTGACCCAAGGTCACACCAGCAGCTGCATATGGAGGAGTGGCTCTTTAGCTTGGAGAAACGACGACTGAGGGGTGACATGATTGAGGTTTATAAGATTATGCATGGGAAAGAGCAGGTAGAGAAAGAGGTACTTTTCTCCCTTTCTCACAATACAAGAACTGGTGGGCACTCCATGAAATTGCTGAGCGGTCGGGTTAGAACGGATAAAAGGAGTACTTCTTCACCCAAAGAGTGATTAACACATGGAATTCACTGCCACAGGAGGTGGTGGCGGCTACGAGCATGGACGGCTTCAAAAGGGAATTAGATAAGCATATGGAGCAGAGGTCCATCAGTGGCTATTAGCCACAAGGTAGAGATAGGGGCTCTGGGGCAAGTGATGCTCTGTCTTCTTGGTGCTTGGGGGAGTCGTCAACAGTGGGAGGGCTTCTAATTTCCAGGCCCCACTGGTGGACCTCCTGATGGCACTGGTATTTCTGGCCACTGTGTGACACAGTGTTGGACTAGATGAGCTTTTGGCCTGATCCAATATTGGCATCTCTTATGTTCTTATGAGTGAGGAATCAAACCCAGTTCTCCCAGAATCAGAGTCCACGCTCTTAACCACTACACCAAACTGGAGCCTGGAAAACTCTCAGAATTACAACTGATCTCCAGACAACAGAGATCATTTCCTTGTAGAGAAAACAGCTGCTTTTGGAGGGTATACTCTTATGTCAGGTTTGCCCACCAGGTAGATCGCGATCTACCAGTAGATCGCGGAGGGGTCAGAGGTAGATCACCAGCCCGACTTGGTCTCCTGGTTTGCTGGACAGTTTCGGTTCAACTTATTTGTGTGAGTCTGTTTTGTTTTTGCTTATTTTGCTTACCAGTAAATGACAGAAGGTGCATTATAAATGGGGGCGGGCGGTGGAACCTAACGTTAGTGGGTTAAAATCTAATTTGAAACTTTACTTTCATGGTGGTAGATCACCGGCATTTTTGACCGGAAAAAATAGATCACTACCTGTTCGAAGTTGGACATGCCTCTGCTCTATGTTGTTATGTCTCACTGAGGCCCATCTCTTCCCCAAGTCTCACTCAGATCTCCAGGAACTTCCCAACCTGAAGCCAGTAACCCTAGGTCAGCATCATTCAGCACCGCTACCTGCTTATGGGAGTTACCAAGCAATGACTCCACACAATGGCACTGCACTATTTGCAAGCCATCCAATGTGTAGATTATCTCAGTCACGTGGAGCGTTCTCAATGCCAGTGGCATCCACTTCTGACAACTGTGGGCTGGAAACTTCCCGCATTGTAGGAGAGTCATCCAGGTAGCAGCGTCCTTGATGCCGCAGCTCTGGAGAACAGGAAGCGTTTCCATGGGGTTGGGTGTAACAAAGGAGTTGGCCTTGAGTCAGAAACAATGCGCAGAATGGCGAGTGCTTTTTATACACCATGCGGCAACCACGTGCCTGGTGTGAATGGCAGAGAGCCTTGAATATCCACCAGCAGCTTATTGTCCTTCATCCCCTGAAATAAGGCACAAATTGTTGAATCGCAGATTTAAATCAACTCTTGGCCATCTAGAGAGGGAACCAGATGGTTGCGAGAGGTGCACGCATTAAGCATGATGCAAATCGGTGAAATATCTAGTTTTCATATTGATGTATGCTAACATACTCGAAGGCTGATAGAGCTTGAGGTTTTAGACTCCCCCAAAGGCTTTTTGATGATGATTGTTTATTGAGAGTAGCGGGGACATTTCCCAAGTCCATCAGTGGCATATTTGCATGCTAATTCCAAGTAGCACATCTCATTATAATGTGGTTGATTTATCTCCTGGACATAGAAGGGTCTTTTTTTAAAAAACACACACATGAGGTTGCCAATTAAGCGGTGAAATTGTCACCCAAACAAATATCTTCTGTGCTCCACCATCCTCGTTAATAGGCATTTAATATTGTGACAGTTTAAATTACACCTTTCATTTAAATGTGTGTAAAGATGCTTGGAACCAAACGAGCGTATTCTGGAACGTGGGGAGGGAGACCGCCTGCGCATTGGCTTTCTGGCGCGGTGTTCATCTGGAGCTTGTTTTCCGTTGTGGGCTTCTCCAACCCAAGAGTCCGTGCGCGATCTGTGATTATGCTTTCCTGCTACTTTTCATATTCAGTTTCTGTTCTGCAGGCACTTACGTGCAGGGGATAATGTGCGACCTGTATATAGGCTGTCATGTGATGACATAGGAGAAGCAGCCCATGATAACTTGCATGTATTTGTATGCTTACACTTTCCGGCCTGGGTAGGCCACACTAGCTGATCTCGTCAGATCTCGGACGCTAAGCAGGGTCCACCCTGGCTGGTATTTGGGTGGGATTACCAGGGTTGCCACCAGTGCTCCCTCTAAGCTGTGGAGTCTTGTGAGCAAAAATTCCACTACTGGTGAGCCACTGGCATCAAAGTTGGCGAGCGAGCGATTTGGCTGCTGCATAAATTAGTTTGCTCCGGAGCCGTCCCTTCCTGAGCGAAGACAAAAATGTGTGAGCCGGAGGCTAAAGAACTGTGAGCTAGCTCACACTAACTCGGCTTAGAGTTAACACTGGTTGCAACTCAGAGGCAGGACTGTAGCCAGGATTTTGTGGCTCGTGGGGCAAACATTTTTATGATGGGGCTGCCGTTATTTGTGATAATAAAGGGGGGTGCGCCCCTCTCCTTCCCTCCTACGAGATTTAAAGGACACTCCAGCTGATCGGCAGGCCACGTGCTCCCTGCCATTCAGCTGTAGAGCCCTATAAATCCTACAGGAGGGGATTGAGAGGGGCACGTGCCACCCCCCCACTTCTCAGAAAGGGGGCCTTTAAGAAGCGGGGGGGGCTTTAAGGAAGGGGGTGGAGCCCCCAATAGCCCCACTGTAGCTACGGGCCAGACTCAGAGGCTTAGGTAACGGCAAACCACCTCTGAATGTCTCTTACCTTGAAAACCTCCTATGGGCTGCCGTAAGTCAGTTGCGACTTGAGACGAAACAGGCAAAACCCCCTGCCTACATAGCATATAATGCACAGTCTGCAGAAGCTGCCAGAGGTTGTGGGCCATGTGTTCTGACAGGGCAAGGGGTCCCCCGTTGCAAATGCTGCTGGTCCACTTGGATCAGCTAGGTTGATGGCAGAGAAGTTGGCATAAAGTTGACTTGCGTATTTGGATTTTATCCTTCTTGCCTTCTGTGTAGTTCAGGGCAGCACAGAGTGTTCCCCTCCCTGATATTTATTCCACAACAACCCTATGAAGTAGGTGAGATGGCTGGCTGGGCCAAGGCCTCAACGTGAGCTTCATGGATGAGTGGGGATTTGAATCCGAGTTACCCTGGAGCTAACCCAGCACTAACTACAACACCACATTGGTTTTCTTTTTGGTATTTTTTCTGGTTTGTGTGTGTGTGTGTATGCGCGTACCTGGAAGTCACGTTGACCTCTGGTGACTGACGCCTATTGGGTGCCTGGAGGATATTCAGAGAGGTGGCTGAATAAAGCCTGCCTCTGTCCCTCCCGACTTGGTATTCCTTGGAGGTCTCCCATCCAAGTACTTGCCAGAGTCTACCCTGGTTAGCTTGTGAGAATCTGACGAGATCGAGCTCGCCTGGGTTATCCAGGTCAGGGCACCACACTGGTTTTCTTAACAACCGAAGAATGGTGATGAGGTTAGGGCACAGTTACAGTTGGACAGTCCTGTTTTTGTGGGCTGTCCTTGGGAGGACTGCCTCATCAGGACACCTGGTTCTCTTCAGGTAGAGGTATCGGATGCCTAAGGGGCAAGCTTGCCCCCATCTCCTCTCCTGTGGTGCCAGGAAAAGGGAGGGAGAGGGGCGCAATAATGTAAACTGGTTTGGATCCCCATTGGAGGAAGGGTGGGGTATAAATAAACAAAACTTACCCACTTAGAGTGTTTATCGTCCTTCCTTTCAATCACAAATGTTCAATTCATTATTTTTTCACTTGAAGATTCACCGCCAGGCATGCCACAGGAGGAGGTGGTGGCTACAAGCTTGGATGGCTTCAAGAGGGAATTAGATAAGCATATGGAGCAGAAGTTTATCAGTGGCTATTAGCCTCAAGGTATAGATAAAAACTCTCAGGCTGGGGCAAGTGATGCTCTGTATTCTTGGTGCTTGGGGAGCAATAGTGGGAGGGCTTCTAGTGTCCTGGCCCCACTGGTGGACCTCTTGATGGCACCTGGTATTTTTGGCCACTGTGTGATACAGAGTGTTGGACTGGATGGGCCATTGGCCTGATCCAACATTGGCTTCTCTTATGTTATTATGTTTTTTAGCAGGCTTTGAGTGTATTGGGTTTGGGGGGTGCCATGTGGTTTTGATGATTATTTTGTGCTGCTTTCTCTCTTATTTGGAGGGGGCACATGTGCTCTCCTCTGAAATCCCTATTTGGTCTGGGAAGCAGATGAGATAAATAAACAATAATCCTTCAGTTAGAATGTTGTTTGGCAGGGTATTTCTCTCTTAGCCATAGTTTTCTGATGTCAAAACCACGGTTTACAGCAGCGAGTCTTGTGGATGGAGAGGAAGAGGAAATGGACTGTGCTGTTTATATATAAAACTATGGTCTTACCCGTAGAGTCCGTGGAGGTGTGCCACCCCCGCCCGCAGGCGTTCCAAGAGGGGCCCCAGCACCCAGAGGAGTACCTCCCGGCAGAGGTCCCGTCGCTCGTGGCCGTGGTCTTCTGACTCCCAGGGCAAGAGGAGTCCCTCCATCCGCTGGCTACCGATCTATCCCACCACCTCTGGCGCAGGATACCTATGGAGAATATGTAAGTTCCGTTGCATCATTTCGTAGATAGTCCAGTAGACCCCGTGTGTTTCTCAAATCGTGGGTCAGGAACCAAAAGTGGATCACAACTTTCATACGGCCGAGTTTAGACGCCAAGGGGTGGGGGAGAGGTGAAACAGTGGAGCTGGGAGAGAAGACTTCCTGACTGGGTTTTGGTTTGGGGTTCATGGGGAGAAATGGAAATACGTACAATATTTCCTTATCAACCCTAAACTTCTTTAACAGCCTAAGGCTGCTCTTGGGACGGGCAGGACAAAGAGAAGGCTGCCAGTGTGCACTGGAAGCTCCCCGGATGGAAGATGCTGGGAATCCAAGCAGTGTTCCCTCTAAGCTGAGTTAGTGTGAGCTAGTTCACAGTTTTTTTAGCCTCCGGCTCACACATTTTTGTCTCAGCTCAGGAAGAACAGCTCCAGAGCAAACTAATTTATGCAGTAGCCAAATCGCTCACTCACAGCTTTAATGCCAGTAGCTCACAAAGCAGGATTTTTTGCTCACAAGACTCCACAGCTTAGAGGGAGCATTGAATGCAAGCAAGAGTCAGGGAGAAAATCCTAGCCAGGCAGGGTTGGGGTTGTGGGGGTCTGCCTTCCTTCCCTCCCGGAAGCAAAGGGTGGTGGCACCAGAGGGAGGCAGGACTCAAAGGGGGGGAGGTAAAAGAGGCAGATGGCAGCCAGGGGCTGGACTTTTTCAGTGTTGGCCCCCTCACCTTTGGAATGCCCTCCCCCTTGAGGCTGGCCTCATGCCTACTTTAATACCTTTGCAGGTACCCCTTCTTTTTGTACCAAGGCTTTTAACCGAGGTATTGCATCGGAGCCCTTTTTAGCATTAGTCTAGGCTGAGGGCTGTTTCATGGATACTATTTTAAGCAACTGAATATTTTTATGCGCTGTTCGTGGGGGTTGTTTTTTTTTAATAATGATAATTTTGATGGCTTTATTATTTTTTTAAAATACCCTGTGTGAGCGGGATACTATTTTAAGCAACTGAATATTTTTTTTAATGTCCTGTTGGTGGGGGTTGTTTTTAATAATGATCATTTTGATGGCTTTATTATTTTTTAAAAATACCTTGCGTGAGCATCCTCAAGGAGGTCTCAGGAGAGATGACGTGTACGGGGCTGTTCCGCCAGGCCTCCCCTGTCCATGGCCCCCCTCCCAGTGCCCTGACTGTGTTTTGGATATTATTTGTGCACTGGAGTTTCTTGGGGGTGCCTGCTATTCCTTGCCTGACATGAGACACGGGTTTTTGTTATCATCTGTTGCTGCCATTTATTGTTTCCATTGCCTGATGGTTTTATGTTGTAAGCCACCCTGAGCCCACTTGTGGGGTAGGGCGGGGTATACGTTAAATTGATAAATAATAATAAATGAACCGTTTCCTATTTGTGCCATCACTGAGGGTGGTGAGCAGATGTGCCCGGGCATTTCCCATCAGTTACATTTACAGTTTGGAACAGGCTCCTAGAAACAGCGTACATGGCGTCATCTCTGCCAGGTTTTCCAAAGACGGCACGATTTCTTGAAAGGCCTCTGGCTGCTAGTTTTAAAATGGGGTTTCTTTGTGTGTTTTTAAAGCCGTAATTAGCATCAGGTTGCTTCTTTTATTTCTGTGACGTTGCTTTCGATGTATATTCTGTGTTTTAACTGTGATATGATTTTAATGTGATTGTGATAGTAAGCCACCTTTAGCTTCTGTGGAAAGGCGAGGCGGTTTAAAAAATGTGTATGCTTACATGTAGATGGCCGTGTGTACGGCTTGTATGGTGATGCAGCAGGCAGTTTTGATTAGCTGAACCCCCTGGGAGTGTACCCAGGGCAAATGAAGAGTTGTCACTGATTCCCCCTTCCCACTGCATGCCCACCCTCAAGTTATTTGTCAGGGTCCACTCTCTCCACCCCTTGCATAATTTTATAAACTTCTGTCATGCCCCCCCTTAGTGGTCTCTTCTCTAAGCTGAAAAGTCCCAGACTCTTC